CGTGCTTGCCACAATATTTCACATCTTTTCTGAAAGTGTATTTCCAAAAAGTAAAAGTCCTAATATGTAGATTCAATGCCAAATTCAGAGTCCATACGTGACATTTACAGGATGAGTCTGAACATTGCAAATGACCACAAACTCAGCTATACATAGATGTTAAATTTGGTGCAGCCCAGAAACTATTTACAGAAATAGCTGTACTATCAAAATTGTATTAATACTTGTTGATTATTTACTGGCATGTTTGTACTTAATTTCTATTGATTTGTATTTTATCAATTCAGTAGGGGTGTTAGTCTTTTTTTGAGAATGGTGATATTGAAATACTTGGCAGGAGAATAAGACTATGATTAGGTCAATGAATGTAAAATAAGAATTATTTCTTTATTTTTGAATGCTTTATCATAAATACATTGCAATAGTATAATTTTTTTACAAAGATAATTTAGTGGGGTTTTTTGTTTTGTTTCTCTAATAATAGAAATCATAGTTTTTTGGTATAACAAGAAACTTGTTATAAAATTGAGTATAATTTAGTCTTGCAGGAGTTTTGTTTTTTTTTTCTATTCTTCAAGCCAAACATAAGATTGAATTGTGATCCAACAGAACAGTAACTTTATAATTCTAGTATGTTTCCCCTTAAGACTTCTAGACTTGGGTTATTGGAAATCTAGGCTATATAGCTATATAATGTTTTGGATAAATTGTTGAAATGGCTATAAAATATTTCAGAGGTGTATGGTCTTTTTGTTTTGGAATTTTCATGAAGCCATTTACAAAATCAGTGTTTATTAACTTCTTTTGTTAAGGGTAAAAGGAAAGAGGCTTTTGTAATGTCTGGCATGGAGTATTTTGCAGAACTACTGGTACTGTAATATGTGCTTCCTGCTTCTAAAACCAGTATTTCAGATTCGTCTATGGTTTTGTTTGTTTCACTCGTGTTGTCCTCACAGTTATCTGATCCATGAAATAGTGCAACATCCTTGATGTTGGACTCCTTTGCTTGTCTTAATATGTTTTACTATATTATTAGTGTCTATAATTTTTTCTTTTTCTGATAATACTAAACACATTTTCATGAAGTGCTCAAAATAATACTAGATTATTTGCAAATGTGGAAAGCATGACACTATGTGCAATAACAGTACTGAAAAACTTCCCTACAGTTATTTATTCTGTTACATTTTGTGACAGGACCTCAAGCTGACCTGGATTTAGAGGTGGAATTCTCCACGTCTTACTGGAATCAAGCATACTGTGAACCTCAGGGGGCTTGCAGTCTCTAAAGGATATTTTTTTATAGTACAAAATAGAATAAGAAAATTTGTTTGGTAGAGAAAATTTGAGTTTTCTGGGAAATACAGATTAGAAGAGTTTAAAACAAATCCCCCTTTATTTTCTTCACTGTGTCCTTGCAGGACCTTATGCTCTAATCTTGCTCTTTAACCTATAATATTTTTTTTAGGTTGCAGCAAAGTTTACACAGTCCTATCAAGATCTCTAAGCCTGCTTTTCTACATCAGAAAATCCTCTCAGATTTCTCCTGGTGCTTATAGGTCTGCAGGCTCCTGTCTGCCATACCTTGCAGTACTGTAACAGCCTCTTCTTGCTAAGCAGTTGTGTGGAGCAAGATACATGTTCCTTTGGAGGGCTCCTCCTAACCCAACCTGCAACAATCAGGTGACAGGAAATGGACATACTTCCTCCCTGCAGCTCAGCCACAGTCATTTTAATAAAATATGTATTACCCAGATGGTAAACTAGGAGCAAGTAAACCAGATATATGCCCTATCTTCAGAGACAATCACTGGAGGGAGAAAGAGACAGCAATGGAAAACAAATAGGAACAGCAGGTACTTTGGTATGGTTGAAGCTGAATAAAGACACCAAAATGGCATAGTTTACCATAGGTGCAAGTAGAATAGAAAGATCTGCAGCGCTTTTTGAGTGCTAGGGAAAAATTGCATAGTTTACTGCAAAACTGCCTCTTGGCAGTGTATAAAGAAAACCACAGGAATCAGAGGTACCCGCTGGGTTTTACAGAGACAGGCAGTTTTTAGACTATGCAATAAAGGGTCAGACTAGAGGACTATTACTGTTATTGTTAGGAAAATTATTTGTTTCCTATGGCCTCCCAGAAGGGATAATGTCAGAGAAACCTCTATAGTTTATTTCAAAGGAATTTGTAGCAATTACTAAACTCAATTGCTGACATATAGGATCTTGTAACAGCCAAGTTTTAAATCAGCAACAGAATGAAGATTTGTCTGGCTGTAACAAAGACAGATTTTTTTTTTTTCTTTTGCTTGTTTTTTGGGGGATTTTTTTTTTTTTTTAAGGTAAAGGCTGTGAACCTGGATTTTGAAGCTTAGGTGAAAAGTGACAAGAATTCCAGCCCAGGAAAAAGCGTAATGGAATGTAAATCTCATCTGCTGACCCTATTATTCTTAATCAAGGCTTTGATTACAAATATCTCAGAGCAAGGAAATATTCTTGATTTTGTAAAAGGCTATAAATGAGATTGACAAATTGAATTCAGCAACAGATAATATGGAACTCTGATTTATAAACTCTTATTAATGTGCTCTTGAAAATAACCTCAGTAAAAGCAATAGGGATAGTTTCATATACAAAAGTGTGTAGCATCTAGTTTTTGTGGTAATTACTAGTAGGAAATCCTCATTTGCATTCCATCTGACTGTAGTTGCATCACATGGCAAAACTTGAGCAAACCGTATGTATCTGAAGAGAGGTACTCAAATAGGAGTAAACTCAGGTTCTGAAAAGAAGTGGTATAAATTGCATCAAAGACTACTAATATTTGTAAAAGGATTCAACATAATTAGAATTCCCAATAGAGCATTGTGTGTGTGCATGCATTTGTGTTTGGGGTGTGTTTGTTCAGTTTTTTTTAATGTGGTCTCCCCCTGACCGCTTTCCTTACACCTATCTCCACCCTATGTGGACTATAAGCTTTTTAATTTAGTTTCAATGTTATCTGGAAGTAAGTATTTCTGCATTGATGCTTCTGTACCCAACATTGCATATGTTGCCTTGGATGCCTTGACTGTCCTTGAAGTACTGTTTTGTATAATATGGCATATAAAGTAGCTCATTCTGAAAACATATGAGTTTACTGTGTGTAGTGGCCCTGGAAAACTGTAGAGTGCTTTAGTATTTATTCCAAAAGCGGAAATTTTGATATCATTCTTTACTGCACCTGTCTTTATCTGAGATACCATTGAAAGGATGCTTGAAATTTTTATGTGTATTTAGCAAGAAAAGTGGCATTAAATAAAAATACAACTCCCCCCCTGAAAAAAAAACAGTGTTAGAGAGAAAACTGGTTTCAGTGCTACAATAGGAATTTAAAAATTCATATTGCAACTTTCTCCTTTTGTCTGAATTAAAGGAATAAAAAAGCTTCCACTTACCAGAGTTAAAGTAGTTAACTAAGTCGAAGCCTAATAAGTAGATAAATGTTCAGAAAGGCTTTAAAATTATCTAATTATCTAACCTGTTCTACAGGATTTAGCTCATGTATTTACAGTTCATCAGGTATCCACAATTTCTGCAGCAACCCTTGTATGTCATTCTACAAAATCAACTACTTAAACAACAGACTTTTAAAGGAACATAGATCATACTTTAATGTGATGATGGCTTCTATTTTGCTATTGGATCACTTGAGTTTTAGTATGAAACAATTTTACTTGCAGCAATTCTCCCTGCCATGAATTTTGTTACATTTTATATTGTGAAAACAGAGAAATTGTAGCTGGTTTTATTTGTGAATTAGGAGTCACATGACAATTCTCTTTCATGATATACATTAATGTGGACATTAGCTCTAAGCAGAATACTATATGGAAGTTGTTTTTTCTATTGGTTTTAATTCAGAGCAAGGACAAAATGCCAGTCAGAAACTCACTAGAGATTTTGAAGGTCTTTTTGCATTTAGTATTGATCCACCTGCCTGTTTCTGTGTCCAGCTGATGCCTGTAAAGAAACAATTTGTGTTGGAAAAATAAATTTTCTGAGAAGGTACATTTAGCACAAGGCTAAATTGCTGTGGGTGGTGAATTTCTCTACAAGTATGAAAGTAAGAACAATTCGGAAAAAGGGAAAACTGTATTATACCTATAACAATTTATTTTTCTGATTTCCCCTCCATTACCTACAATGGGTTTTCTTTTTCCTAAAGTGAAAACAGAACCCATTTTTCAACTCTTGATACATAAAGGTATTTTATATGCAATGAAGTCTACTGCCTGCTCTCCGTACCTTTTTATGTGAGTTGGTGCTTATAGTAGGTACTATACATACAACCAGGTATGGCTAATCTTGTCTAAGAACATGTGTGATATAAGTACGCATATATGCATAAACACCTTTTATTTGCATATATGTACATATAATTGTACTTGTGTTTATGGTACAGAAATGTATTGTTCTATGCATACATTATTGTGTAGTATGCATATACAATATGTTTGCATAAGCAGATAGTAACTTTCTATTAACATTTTGTTTTTCTTTCCTGTCATACAGAATACAGCCTTCTACTTTAATATGATAAACCACTCTTAATGTCAATTTCATTCATATTAAGTGTAGATTTAGATGTTTACAAACCACGAATGGCTGGTTTTAAAACTAAAACTATCATTACATTGAATTATATTTGTGTACAGGAAGATGGAACTACTTCACAGTTCAAGTGTGATACCATATCTGATGAGAAAACAGTCCCTCTGTTAGTATCGTGGTATTTAACAAATTGCATGGTGCTTTTATGATACCTAGTAGAGAAGCTGTCAAATAAACTCAGTTAATAAGCTCTCAATAAGTTGAATCAATTGGCAATGTAAACCTAATGTCTCTAATTTCTTTATACTTTATTTTATGTTTGTGATTTTATGAATACAACAGCTAAAGTAGCTGTTCAAATTAACTTAATGTATAACGATTGCTTGTTCTGTTTTGTTGTTTTCCAGCTCCCTCAGGCTCAAAAGGTAAAATTTTTTAATCAAATCTTAGCCATTCAAAGTAGTCACCAGTCCTTCATATTTCCATATGTTGAGAATGTGGTACAGTAGTGATCAGTGAAACAGTTCACTCTAATGGGACCTCTGGAGTTGAGCAGCAAGAAGGGTAGCTGACATCAAGGCCAGCTAAGGTACTTGCTGACAGCAGCTCTTCAAACTGTTGAGCTATTTTAACATGGTAGCCATATAGTAGCCTACAACTTTAAAACAATAGGGAGGCTATTTTATCAACAATTTGAAATAATAGTAAAGGATAAAAAAAATCATCGCATTACTCCATGTGAAACATCTCTGGATCATCTTGCCTCTGTTGTAGAGACTGCAGAACCCATAGTATAGCTGGTACCCTTTCACTGCTCCCCACTGTATCTATCAACACACCTTTGAATACATCCAACACTTGACTTCTCTAATAGGTTGCATACAGTTGTCATATAATATGTTCTTCCCTTTAAACAACTTCTGCATCGATATGGTATGTTACCAGAGTCACCGCTGCTCGTCATGATAGCACAATGATTGTGGCAGAATTGCTTCATGCCTGTTGCATCATCTTTGTGTGTTTCACAAATATAATTAAAGCTTCTAGAAAATAGAAAATCTAGATGCTGTTTTCTGGTTTGTGATGAGAAATATTAGAAAGAAAAAAAAATAATTATATCTGCTAAGAAATTGCAATACTCACTCATCCAAGTTGTTCTTATTGTGCTAGGTAAAGCACCTTTAATAAGAAATGTCATGGCATTTAATCAGTTAAACATCACTGTTATTAACAATCTTGGATGATGATCAACATTCAGTTTTTAATGAAAGCTATAGGTTAATTGATCTTCAGTGAGTAGCTTTTGGAGAATGGATGAGGGCATGCATGGAACTCAACTTTAAAAGGGTTAATTAATGTATCTCATCCACTTTTTCATTTAAAAATCAGTAAATATGAGCACAGGGGCCTTTATTTTTATGATGCCATGTATATTTGAAATTTCCTTGCATGTGGAGCTCAGAAAATTCTATTTCAAATCTGAAGCTAATATGCTATTATGTGACACCGGACTGTGTCTATAGTCTGTTCTTGTGTTTTGGTAGTTGCAGAGCCAATCAAATGTGACATGGTAACAAAAATTGTTGGTTGGCTTTTGTTTTGTTTTGTTTGTTTCTTTTTTCCTTGTGGAAATAGATGGTTTAAAGAAATCTTTTGCTTGCAGCTTCCTGGAAAAGTAGAAGGACTGAAGGACTAGACTGGCTAACTTTGGCTTTTTCATGTTCACTTACTTGTCTAAAAGTTTATGCCAAATGCTTCTCTTAACAGTATGCAGAAAGAAGAGACAGTGAGGTTACAATATGCTGGTGCAGAAAGATATAACCAGTCAGGCTGTTTACCAGATTGTGTCATGTGGTGCTGTATATCATGTGTTCTGATGTCCACAATTCTGAGCTATTAAATAATGTTCTGGTACAAATTACTCAAGTTCATGGTTAACGAAAAAACCCACAGTTTTCGTGGAAGGTCAGAAATGTCAATTTTTAGTGTGTTTATCCGTTGAGCAAACTAATGCAGAATGAAAGCCACATATTTTGTATATGTACACATAATGTCTAGTTGACTGTATACTGCTTTCACGCAAAGAGGAGAGGGGTGGGAAGGAAGGAATGAGATGGGGAAGGAGAACAGATAGAAGTAATCCACAAGGGCTTTTGATAACTTCAGGCAAGAAATAAGCCTTTTCATAAGCACAGTCTGATAGCTTATGAACAAAACTAGAGAATCTCCTGTTATCTGAAAGGTGAAGGGAAGCAGCACAGGGCTGATGCATGTGCCTTTATGAATGACTTAGTCACTAGCATACATGTTTTTCCATGTCGTGTCTGAATTTGTACTGTATTTTTGTTGGAATCTATGTATCATCTTGCAAATGTTTTCTCTATAAACATTTCAAACAGTCAGGTCTCTCTAAACATGTTAACTTTAATCTCTGAGTGATCTGAAAGAAAAATGTAGTGTTCCAAGTTTACCTTTACTATTTTATATGTTATAAATACTTGGTCATCTTGATGAAATGTGTTACATCTTTTATGTGAAACACTTTGGCTATAGTCTTCTCAGTGTTTAGTCAATGTTCTATGGTGATTAGCTATTGATTTAGAAGACCTGTAGTTCTCAACTCTCTATGGCAGTTAAATAATTAAAACCTGGTACTGTTAGGCTCTCTGCTCTAAATCAAATGGTTGCAAATGCAGAACTGGAGTGCAGGTGAAATGAAGTATGATGAGTTTGAGGTGGATGTCTGTTGCACCCTGATATTTGTTTTGAAAAGATCTTTGTGCTACACTCGATACTTAAAACAGAAAATACCACAAAACCAAAAAAAAAACCCCACCATAATTTCAGGTGATAGAGATGCTGATTTAATTTGGTTATGTAACTTTCAGAAGAAAATATGTCTAGGAAGAGGTAATATATATAAAAGAGACACTATCCAGACAAATGGAACAAATTAATGTGAATTTTATATGTCTTCTCTGTTGTTTTTCTGCATATTTTAAGGTAACCATCCCACAGGGCTGTGAAAATAGTAATAAAACAAACTAATAGCTCAAATTTACCAATTATCAGACTTCTTCAGTTTGGCTTCCAAAAATTACCTTTATCTTTGAAACACTTTTGAAAAGCAGCTTTTTGATTCACTGATGAGCAAAAGATATTCTTCCTTAATAGCTTAAAAAGGTGTTTTTTTTTCCTAGTAGGAAACCTTTACTTGCTTTCTTGAGCAAACACAGCAGGATTCAAAATCTGTTGTTCTACTCCTGCTGTGATGTTTTGTTCTACTTAGGTTGTGTGAAGAGGTAGAAGTGAGTAAATTAGGCACAAAAATCAGAGGCAGATATTTATGTTTAGGAACATTTAGGAAAGTTACTTTTTAATGATTCTTTCACGAACGGGATTACATTTCCTCCATGTAGAAATGTTTTGATTTTATTTGTTGCCCAAAAGTTCCTGACAGCTTTCTTCTCTCTTTCTGTGTTATCCCTTAACTTCTGTAAGTAGTGCTTTGCCCTCCTTTTATCTTGCTGCTATCATCTTTCAGACATTTGGGAGCATCATTTATCATTCCCCGCATCATTTACCTTCTTATACTTTGAAGTGTTGAATTAACTGTCACTGGGAAAAGAAAAGAGAAAATTTGTAAAGCTGCTATTTCATTGAAGTGCATGACTAGAGATTTTAGCATTTTTATAAAATTAAAGGAGTTAAATTGAATCTAATGAAGTACAAAATAATCATGAAGTAAACATTTTGACTGTGATTTCGCATTCCTTTGGATCTGTTTCCTGCCAACGAGAGGCTATTGTCTTTCAGTTTCATAATGTATATAAAGTTGAGGGATCCATTCCGAAAACTGCATTAAAATTTTCACTTACATGTTAATCGCAACCTTAAATCTAGTTTCCAAATTTCTCCCTCTCGCTCCTCAACAAGCAAGTTGACTTTTAATAAGATTTTTGAGTCAGTAATTTGAAAACTCTAACTGTTTTACAATATGAGGATATTTTGGTGTTTCATTTCTGTGTACTAAACACCGAAATGTGTCTCTAACTTACTACACTCACACAGGTTCCCATACTGTCCCAGGCCATAATTTGAATTTAGGCCAAAATAATAACTTTTTCTTATTCTTGTAGTCTGTATAAAACACAAGTAAATGGTCAAATTCCAGTTCTCTGATGCTTCCAGCATGCTCCATGACTCTACTCAGCACATAAAAGCACAGTAGTCACAGAAGACAACACCTAGTGAAGCAAGACTATGTGGACTGGAGAAAGAGAGAAGCAGGGTGGATTGGGAAGATGACAGAGTTATAACAAGGTAGCAAAGAAAAAACAAAAGCTTCAGCATGAACCTAGTATTTCAAATACATCCCTATGGAACTGCTCTCTGCTGTGCGTAAAGTTTCAGCAGCAGCATTGGAGCAACCACTTTCAACACTGGTGCCTTTTCAGATGGCTTGTGGTGTTCAGAAGGCTGTATAGGCTATGCCAGCAGACCTTCACTTTGAACTATTTCCTCACTCAAGTGCCTTAAGTCTTATTTCCTTCCAAGTTTACAGACCAAAGGTTCCTATGTCAGCATGGGTGCACAGCCCTCCTCAAACATTTGTTTGAGTGCCTCTCTTTAGCCCCATCATATCTCTTAATCTTGCTCATTTTTTGATTTAGACTATTAGCTCCAACTTTAAGATCTGTCCTCTAGCTATAACAGCCTATAGACCTTTTCTGCATTTCAACCTGTTGGTAATTTAATTAAATATTGTGGAAATCAAAGCTCCTGTTGTGGAATGGTGAAAAATCAACTAGGAACACTGTAGATCCAGAGAGATTAGAATTCCAAGGGAAATTATTGGGCTGGAGATTATTCTCTGAGCAAAGCTGGTCATTGTTGTGGCTATTTCATAGTTTCCATGAATCAGAATTGGTGGGAGATGAATCTGACTTTACTTGACACTGTTTGCTGCAACAGATATCCCATTCTGTGGAAATGGACTACAGTTATTACAGTCCAATATAAGTGCAAGAATTAGGAATATTTCAAGCAACAAAATAGTGTAAAAAAAAGTGTTATTTTGTTTTGCTAGGCATTGTCCAAATTGGGAAATGAGGCCTGAATAGAATTAACATTATGAAAGTTAACTGCTGAGCTGAACGGTCCTGCTAGGGTTTCTTGATATATATCATAGACATAATAAATCTCTATTAAAAAAAAAAAGATATTTTGAAGTTTAAGATCTAATATTTTCTTGGATGAATATCTTTTTAATGTGGTGAAAGTTGGTGAAACTCTGACAGAAGTTGTGGTTGTCTAAAACGCAAAGTTTAGATTCTGAAAGATACTGTAAAAAAGATGAGGTTTTGATCTCAAAATTTGTTTCCTTTCTGTGACTAATAGTTCAAAAATTAACAAGAAAAAATAG